CACAGCTTGAGGTGAACATACAAGCTTTGGGGCCGATCAATCTAAAGGAACCATATCTATATCCCTGAGGTTCCCCACCTTCCTTCCTCAAACACAACTTCAAACACACCTTTTCCCTGGAATCCCGCACCATTGTGTCACCACGGCACTTCAACTTCTCCAGGGATTTCCTTCACCACCTGGGGAGGATCGGGGAAGCCAGTGACATAGTGATTACCTCGGACTCATCGCTGTTTGCTCCTAGCAATGATAGTCAACAACCACCAACAAGAACAAGACACCATCGTTTCGCGGATAAACTTCTGGATCGCCAAGACCGGAGAAAAATACGGCCTCGCGGAGGGTGCAGCCAATAAGGCTAGTAACAAGTGCATCGCTAGTAGTAACAAGTGCCTTACTAGTAGTAACAAGTGCCTTACTAGTAGTTACTACTAGTAGTGCAGCCAATAAGTTCTTTATGGATTCACAGGAGCACAACAATTAGCTGCTCAAAAATGGTGGAGCATGGTGGAGCCATTGAACTGGCAGGCAAGAGACAAAACATATCATCTCGTGTATATAATATATATAATATATGTTATGTGTGCGTGTCTAGGAAAAGTAAACCTCCAGTCTTCCATCTGCTGGAAATATGTGCATGCACAAAGAAGACTGTATACGCTGCGTAACGCGGGCATGCGTGTTAGAATGCCAAAACCTTTGGCCACTGCCCTCCCCCTTCTGCTTAGTCACGCCTCATTGAGGACTCGTCCACTTCGCATCAGAACGCTATGGTACTTCACGCCCAACATGCTACATGCCTGGCCGTGAAATGACATGATTCAGTTGCCCAAGGTGTCAATCTATACAGCTGTGTCAGTCTTTTCCTGATTCTCCGAGATGCAGGCACAGCTTGTTGCAGAACCTCACCCCAGGGTCCCATGGAGAGTATTACCACATCTGAGGCCATCTTCTGCCCATCCACCACAACCCCACGAATGTGTCCTAAGCCACGCAGAGTCTTCGAACACCCTTGCCGTGGATAGAATGAGTGGATTAGAGAAAAGCATTCCAAACTGCAGGATGATGATAGCTATCTCTTGGAGGACCTTGTTGCAAGTCTCTTCCAAGAGACTTGTGCCTTGGCAAGTCTCTTTCAGAATCACCATCTTCGTAGCACAGATTCTCCACGGTTCCTTTCACAAAGTTGGAACCATGCTGTTCGCTGTAGCTCCACATCGCATCGCACAACCTTGGTCCAATTGAACACCATCTGTGCAGACTCAAACCGTATCATTTCCGTGCGCTTCAAACCCAGATGCTCTTTAGGATGAACCTGGGCGATTGTGCTCTCATCCCCCATCAAACGACTTCCTCGCACTCCCAGGTCGGTCCACTCCAGGTTCTTCAACTTGGCACCTGGGGCAGTTGACGCGACGTGGCAACCCACCCTGTCAGCATTCCACGGGTTTGGATCAGGAGGTGGTGTTGTGGACCTGGAATGTGCTTCTGGGATTTTGACCATTTCTATTGTTGCATTCATTTGTAATTATGTACTACTGTCCTTGTTACTATAAGTAAGGCACTTGTTACTAGAAGCGATGCACTTGTTCCTAGTAGCTTATTGTAATTAATTATGCGCTTTGTTTTTGTTTTTTGATGTCATCTTTTTAGTTGAGTCTTTCTTTGTGTTGCCTGTCGAAGCTCTGGTTGAATGCACGTCCTTCCAAACTTTGGTTGATCGGAAGCCGAAAGGACACCTCGAACAAACCAATGCCGACGCCGCCGAAACGCCTGTGCCGCAGGTTTCTAGCTTTGTATACCCAAACGAATCAATGACGTGCACTCTCGCCTGGACGCTCACCCCCCCACCCCCTCCTTCTTCTTGTTGTAACTTGGTTCAGGTTAATGCCCTTACGCAGTGCTCCGTCTCACACTGCCATTTGGGTATGGTACGTAGAGCCAGCCAGCAAATCGCGCCAGGTCGACATATAACGACATGAATCCCAAAACCCCCCGAACCTCTCAACACCAAAGTCACATCAACCACGCAACGGCAAATACGCTTCTGATAGTATCCCTCCTTTTGCACGAATTTCCTACCACGTGCAAACGACACAAAAAAGACACGACACGAGTCGGTGCTGAATCGTGCAAATATTGTGACTTCCTGACAGCCACAAAACACCGCAAAACATCTGCAAAATGGAGACAGCTTCAACGTGCAAACTGCCTCAAGCAAACCAGTCCGCAAAATTTTGTTAACTGAAAACACATAGAAACATATTTATGTGGTAACTTATTACATCAGAAATAAACCTTCATTTACCACAATCAATTTGCCTCTGACTCTTAGATTGCTGGGATTCCAGAACACTGGGCTGCCCCACCGGCAGGTTTGGCGCCTCAGGGGCATGACAAATGAGTAGCTGCAGGTGCTTGCTACATTGACACTTTCAGTCACACTCAGCCTGTCCCATCCACTGCCACACTCTGGCATTTCAATCGACGGTAAGAGCTCAAGGATAATTCCTTTGCTGTCTCCTGCATTGCGGGACATGACAGTGTTGCAATGCCCTATTCTAAATCATTTCGCACCCATGGAACTTAATGCCGACATTCACCACCAAAATTGGATTTTTTTTGGCGCACCCAGTGCATTGAAATAAAACGAAAAACGTGAGGAGAAAGCTTGGTGTCAGCGCCGCACGCAAAACACACAACATCTTGTTGGGCAAGTCTTCAAGCAGATTTTTGGTTTCAGGCCATGAAAGAAGAAACGAACCCTTCAAAAATGGCTGGTCTTACGGATGCAGGACTCAGGCTCCTCATGCATGTCAAAGCTCTTTTGTGAAAGTTCATCGGTGGGTGTTCCAGCGTTCCAGTTTCGCGCCAGGAACCCACCAGCTTTGCCACTGGCCTGGGAAAAGATTGGAGCCGGCCTGTGATCCAAAACTGGTTTAAACAATGATGCCAGCTCTTTAGGTTTGACTCGGTTTGACTCGGTTTGACCCTTTGAACATTTGAGCAAAGTTGCGCAGGAGGCGATGCCTGCTCGATCGACGATGGTCGACTTCACACCGCGCTGCGCGAGGTGGTACGAGATTGAGACTCCAATGATGCCTGCGGCATCTGCGCGAGGTGGTACCGCTCCGCTGTCCAAATATGTTCAACATGAAACTCCTTGATCAATCTGATCCTATTTTAGATCAAGAAACGCAGCAAACCGACGACGCACGCCTCCTCCCAAAATTAGTACTGTTTTATCATCGCCATCAGGGCCAGCGTGCCTAGCCACCTGGGACCCAGAAGGAAAAAGAGAACGCCCTATTGGCAACAAAAATACTAGATGACAATGTGGCCGGAAAGCACAGTAAAACAACCACAACGAATACTTAAAGTTGAAAAACCGTCCTAGATATCAACCGACACCGTGTTTCAAGTGCTAAACGATTTTTTCATGTCTAAAAATCCTTCCTTAAGTGCTGTCTTTCCACGTGATGTTGATGATGCCGACAACAATGACGTATGATGAGCATGTTGATGATAATAATGACGAAGGTGATGATCAGGAAGATGAATCGGCAGCTGTTTTTTAAGAAGAACCCTTCGCAGGCGCCCACCAATCACCCTGCTCACCGGTGACGCGCGTGCGCTTCCCGTTCCCCAATGGCATGGAGCCACGCAAACATACTTTCGATCGTGGTCACAAACGCTTGGCACAACGACATCACAAACTCACAAACATGTCGCCGCACATGCCACGGGCTAAACATGTGACACCAAGCCTCATTGACATCACCAATTATCCCGCTCTTTGCGCATGCATGTTTCCCCATTCTCCATCCAACGGCGCTGTGCACGTCAATGCACTTTTGGGCGATGACGCGTGATGGTGAAGGTGATTTGATACATGAAAGTTGCTGGGAAAAGTTGGCGCAACAAAACCATCCAAAGTGCTGAGATCAAAATGTCCACCAAATGAACCAAGGTGGCAAATGAAGGGGCTTGACCATTTCCTTGTTCCATGCATTCCATGTTTAATCCTTGACCGTAGCCAGTCCACGGCCTCCATGTGTCGGCGGCCACGGAGCTGAGCGCTGTGTGGACTAACAAATCCTAGGGTAGCAGAAAAGCAAACTGTTACTACTAGCGTGGCACTTGTTTCTAGTAGCTTCTTGTTACTACTAGTAAGGCACCTGTTACTACTAGCGTGGCACTTGTTTCTACTAGCTTCTTGTTACTACTAGTAAGGCACCTGTTACTACTAGAAAAGCAAAGTGAAACAAACGGTTTTTGAAGCACAACTTTCTGCAGACACTGCAAGGCCTTTGTCGGGTTTAGGCATTGTCGACCCCTCAACTGCAATGAAAACCGTCCCGGGCACAATAAACGTGAGGGGTAAGTTTGAAACATCGAGGTCAGGTTGAAAAACTCTCCCATCATACGGGACGTGCCAACCCTTGACCCCATCTGGCCTGCGAAGCCAGACAAGGTCAATGTCAAGAAGACCGCTTCCAGCGCCAGCCTCAATCCAAAACACAGCCTGTGCCTACCCATGGGCTCGGCAGCGCGGCTGCCCTGTCTCTGGGGCTGTAATCGGCCCAGTAGCTGAAGTTCTCTTGCTCGTCCCCTGTGCAAACATGCACCGTGCACTTGAGGTTGTTCATTTTTTGGGGGGGTTGTGGCAAAGACATGAACAAAATAAGTTACGATTCGACACCTGGCTGCGCTTTGGATATTGAATCTGACAAATGAAACGTCATCAGATCGAGCCAAGCAAAGATATGCAAAGATGCAAGTGGAGCGGGGAACATTTTGCCTCTGTACTTGTCAACACTTGAGTGCATACCCCTTCTCACAAGCATGCGCTAAGTCTTTTTTCTCACTTTCCCACCGACTTCGTGGAAAAGCAAGTAACAAAAGACTCCGGCAGAACCTACAGATCTACCGCGGAGCCTCAGGCACCGACGGTTAAATGTTAACATTCGTGTATGCTGAACCCACTGGGTCAGTACGAATGTATACAGTGCGAAGGCGGCATACACTGTTCACACTACTGTACACCTAAGAAAACAAACACTGTACGCTTAAATGTCACCCAGACTCCTGGCTTTCAGAGGCCCTGAACCTTAGCCGCAAGGCTATCAAGGACGCATTATTTGCAACAAGTGCTCTAACTTTGGGGTTGGGCGGCAAGACAAACATGTCAAGTTCTTTGAAGTTCATGGACCTCTTCCGAACTAACATGGTTTGACAGGTGTTTCTGCCGACACAAACAGGTTCAGCTCGGGCCATCTTGTCTTTGCAGGCGAAAGCCATTTGGCATTTGAGCCAGCCTTACTAGTAGTAACAAGAAGCTATTAATTTAGATTTGATTTTTTTTTAAATTCTAATAGCTTTTTTGTTACTAGTAGTAAGTAGTAAGGCACTTGTTACTACTAGCGTGGCACTTGTTACTACTAGTAACAAGAAGCTAATAGCAAACAAGTGCATCGCCAGTTCGACCTCAATTTCACCCCCCGTGAGTCAACGAAGCTGCCAAGAAGCGAGATGGGAGAAATGCAAGCAGGGGGGCGGCCTGCACACAAAGCAACATGTTTTCATACAGCTCGCCAGTAGGGTGGCCCACATGCAACCATGTCCAATTCGCTTTTTCAACCGTGCCAGGTTCTTTTTTGCATGTTGTCCTCTTACCAACATGGTTTGAACAGTTCAGCAGACTAAATACAGTGTAACACCAAGCCTTGTGGACACCCCATAGGCTTTTTGATTTCGGCACGGAGCCATGGAGAACACTTTCCGAGGGTGACTAGATGCAACGTGCCAAGCTCCCAAAAGCTGCTACATGCGTACCAAAAACTCTTTTTCTGCGTGCACTCCCGGCTACTTCCCGTACCGCAATCGCGCGACAATGTTCCCAGTTCCAGACATTGGACAAGGTTGCAGAAGCTGCTTCCCGGTACATTGTAGCGCAAAGTCGCCAGCTCTGCCACAGCTCGAGGCCTGTACTACCCTTATACAAGTTGCCACTTCGGCCACAGTCGGCGACGGTTGCACACTTTGACGATGCCCACCTTCACGCTACTAGTTAGTTTAAATTAATTCTAATAGCAAACAGTGTTACTACTAGTAAGGCACTTGTTTCTAGTAGCGTGGCACTTGTTACTAGTAGCGAACCTTCATTTTCGACGAAATTACACACTTTAGCAACTCTATGCGCACGATCTCCACAAAGGGTCCACCACGCCCGCCTCCAATTCGCATTTCACCTCACGCTTGAGCACTCGACACAGATGATTCCAAAGGGTTCATCGGGCACACCAGTTTACATTGCACCTCACTTTTGGAGGTTAAACGCTTGTTTCAAACAAACCACTGTCATTTCAGTAGAAATAGTCGGGCGGAGATGCTGAACTACATGGCAAGCAAAACGCTCTGGAATTGAACGTTTCAAACTTAGGTTGGAGGTCATGGCTATATTCATTGAAACTTTAGGTAATTTATTGAAACTCAGCTTTCACTTTGAACCGCTTTCTCGTTCTCAGCTCTGAGACTCCCGCTTCTTGCAAGAGCTTAGCCAAGAAGGGTGTGTTGATTTGTTTGTTCCAACGAATGAAATTCAGAGGTTGAACTGTGAAATTCTCCTTCAACATGTTCGTTTGAAAAGATCTATGTTCTTTTTTTCATCTTCAGATCTGTCGGAGCCAGTTGAGCCTTGGAGTTCTGACATGCCAAGTTGGGCAGATCCGCCAAACAGACGTAGTCGACGAAAGAACATGTTCGAGAACGAAGTGGTTCTAGCAAACACAATCTCCAATCCAAGATTGAAACTACGTAATACTGATGCTAGGCAAGCCCCACATCAAACCCAGGATGTTGAATATGACAATTGATAGAAATTGCCGTCAGGAGATTGACCTGTCACGTGTCACAAATGTGTTGGCTTTTCCCTTGAGTGGAAAGAAGACCTGTTGCATACATGTTTCCGGATTCCTTTTTCGCTGCGTCAGAAAGTTGCCAACGTACTTTAGGCGTAGCAGCGTCGCCGTGAGGCAGTGCAGCTTGGCCTTGATTTCGTCTCTCTTCTCAACGAGGCAAGAAAGCATTGGAGAGGAAATTGACATGATTGAAACGGAGACATCATGGGACGGAATGTCACTCCTCAATAGCACTCTTCGCGAAGAGGGACGAAAGGCATTTAGCTGAAAGCAATGTGCATACGCCATAAGTTGGTTCATGGGCTCACAAGGACGATCCTTCACAAGAGGGCTGGTGATTACAGTGAGTCCTCACGAAGCACGAATGCAACACTGTGAGCGCGAGCCACTTCTCGAATAGCTTTTCTTCCAATCGCACATCTCGCGCAAAAATGCGTCAAGTTCATGTGGCACGAGCTGGGAACCAGGAGCGTGAAACCGGGAATCTGCTAAAACAAGACAGGGATTGCTCGATCACATTCTCCACACTCCATCAGTTTCACGGAAAGGAACTGAGATTTTTGTTTCTAGCAATTTCCTTTGAAAACATTTCTCCACAAAAGGAATTTCTATCCATAGTCTGGATTGAGATGTGTGCAACCTTGCAATAACATTTGGCAGCTAGGAGCGTGGGGAAAGAGCTTGCGGTTCGTGGACATTCTGGGGTTTCCAAGTTCCACCTTGAAGCTTTCAGCTGCAGATGTGCCTAGCTGCCGAGAGACAAAAGCAAAGACAGTCACCTTCAATCTTTTGGCACGTGGCGGCGCCATGCGCTCACAGCAGGCTGAATCGGAAGATTCAACCATTACATGCCAGTTGGCCAAGTTCTTCAAGTTCTTCGATATGGAAGGAAGGGTGATTGAGGGCACCCTTCGATCACAAGCCTTGCGGATGCTTTCAGTGTAGTAGATGATGATGAATACATTAAGTGGCTGATTGAAAAGGGGCAAACTGTGGGAAGGTCCTTTGGATTTCGACGGCCAGTTTGTGGTTGAGCTGTTCTGTTATGCATTCAGATCAACGGCTTTGTGCCCGAGGTCGTTGAGCATGAAGACCTCTGGCTACGATTGCCTTGAGAGACCGGCTCCACTTTGGTGAACACAGTTCCAAGCCATCTGCCAGTCGCATTGTGCACTTGAATAGGCTGCAGAAAGAGCGAATCTCAATCGTCCTGCTTGGTTTGCATCTGCCTATCGAAGTTTCACTGATCACTGGCTGGGGAAAGAATTGCACTTCTTTGAGAATTCCAAGGCAGACTCTTCTCGAATCTGCTGATGATTTCCAAGTTCCACCTTGAAGCTTTCAGCTGCAGATGTGCCTAGCTGCCGAGAGACAAAAGCAAAGACAGTCACCTTCAATCTTTTGGCACGTGGCGGCGCCATGCGCTCACAGCAGGCTGAATCGGAAGATTCAACCATTACATGCCAGTTGGCCAAGTTCTTCAAGTTCTTCGATATGGAAGGAAGGGTGATTGAGGGCACCCTTCGATCACAAGCCTTGTGGATGCTTTCAGTGTAGTAGATGATGATGAATACGTTAAGTGGCTGATTGAAAAGGGGCAAACTGTGGGAAGGTCCTTTGGATTTCGACGGCCAGTTTGTGGTTGAGCTGTTCTGTTATGCATTCAAATCAACGGCTTTGTGCCCGAGGTCGTTGAGCATGAAGACCTCTGGCTACGATTGCCTTGAGAGACCGGCTCCACTTTGGTGAACACAGTTCCAAGCCATCTGCCAGTCGCATTGTGCACTTGAATAGGCTGCGGAAAGAGCGAATCTCAATCGTCCTGCTTGGTTTGCATCTGCCTATCGAAGTTTCACTGATCACTGGCTGGGGAAAGAGTTGTGCTTCTTTGAACAAGTGAGCCATCTTCATCTAGCTCTTGCGAAAAACGCTCTAGAACATTCCAAGCTGCCTGGCCAGGAGCCCGCTGAGGCATTTCTGCGCACGCCGAATAAGGCCGGTGCTCGGGATAAAATCTCGCCTACTGCTTTGTCTGGAAAGCTTGCTCCTGACTCTGTCAAAGCCGGACAAACTTCTGGTTCTTTTCGATGGGCAGGAGAATCGCAATGGGCGTTCGGCTTTTCGAAGGAAAGAAGCGAAGGAAATCGGTTGCCGGTCGCACGTCGATTTCTGCCTCGTGCATCGAAGGACGGTATGTCTCACCGGACGGGTCTGTGCACGGACCTTAAGCACACCCTTAAGGCATCCTGTTACTACTAGCGTGGCACTTGTTACTAATAGCTTCTTGTTACTACTAGCGTGGCACTTTGTTACTAGAAGCGTGGCACTTGTTACTACTGGCCTTAAGACCGAAGCGCATCTAATTTGCAACTATTCAAATTTTAAAAAAGATGCCAAAGAGCTCAACGACGGATTCTTATGTCGAGTCAAACTCGCACAAGCAGAACTCAAATCTGTATTCTTGTGGGGTCTTTTGAGCCCCTTGATCCAATTGCTACACAAAGTTGTTGGAGGATTGACCAAAAACCACTCCAAAGCTCGAAAAAGAACCAAAACCTCTTGCAATTCATTTCGCTTCTCGATTCGCTTCTCGCGTTTTCACACCGTTTTCTGCCGCCTACGGCGAAAGAGTCTCAACATCAGGCCGACAAACTTGGCCTTTTCGTC